GGGAATCCCACATCACCTCCTCTTTTCTGTCTAATTAAAAAGGAAAGTTTTAACTTTAACATAGCAAGGTTACAGTCAACAAAACAGTTATCAACCAAGAATTACAGTTACAATACTTAGTCTATTTATATTTGGCAAATTAAGGAAAATACTCTTATCAATCCTATCTTTGTGAGTCTAAAGTTTTATATTTAATCTACCTTTTATTATAACTAAGGAAAACTATAACTATGTATTCTTCAACTCCATTAAAGACTCCAGAAGGATATACTATTACCTAAGTAAACAGGGAGTGCATTGTAAGCAATTCCAAAACTCTATAATTGACAGAGACATCTCACTGCCTGGACAGTCACCCAAAGTTTTTTTTTTTTTTGTAACATTGGGGCACCCATCTTTAGCCTACAGGCTCATAGTATTCGGCAGACTTTTCATGAAGCAGGAAATTTTAAGAACAGTTTTACCTATATTGGCAGTTTGTCAGTCACTTTTCTTCTGTGTCCTGCAGAATGTCTGGCAGACTCTTTCATGAAGTAGAAACCCTGAAAGACTGTCTCACCTTAGGCAAGTTCAGCAGTCATTTTTCTGTGGGTCTTGCATGTGCAGTTCATACAGCATAGCATCAAGCAGTCCAGGCAAGAGCAGTTTCTTGCCCGAATGCTAGCAAACTCCATAAGGAGCCTCTACGATGCCCATCTCTTCTTGAAGTAGATTGGTACTACCAGGAGTAGATGTGTCTCATTGTCATGAAAAGTTCTTAAAACATTTTAAATGCCATATTTTGTTAGTCTTTGAAAGGTTTGAAGAATAACTATTCATCTGAAACATATCTTTGTACATCTAGAAAACCTGACTAACTTGACTACAAGCTTGATTATTATAGACGACTATATTAACCTGCTTTTTAATTATACATTACATTTTAAATGAGCTGCACAAACACAATACCTTAATCAAGAGCAGAAATATACATATAACAAAACTTACCTTAAATTTGCATCAATAAACCAAGATCCATACCAATGCAAATCTCTATAGCATATCCCCCTTTAAATGTGAACAAACATTTATAAACAATATTTGGGAGTCTCTTTAAAGACTTCATCAGAGTCTCTCAATCAAACGCAGTCTTTGCCGATACAGCTAATCTTGCTAGCTAGCTTCCTTTGAGGCATCCAGGTCTGTGCAGTCTGAGGCTGGGATTAAGGGCAGCCACACCTGTCTGTAATTTTCTTTGGTGTCTGGGGATTCAAACCCTGGCCTCCAAACTTTCCTGGCAGGTGCTGCAACTGTAGAGTCACCTATCTCCCTAGCCCAATTATGCATAACTTCCATTTAGTTCCTGAAAGATATGGTCATTAAAGGAGGAATTGTGGGGCTGGGGGTGTAATTCAGTTGGTAGAGTACTTTCTAGCATGCGTGAGACCCTGGGTTCCATCTTTAGCACCGTAGAAACGGGCATGGTAGCAGACGGTGTGCCCTCCTAGTACTCTTGAGATGGAGGCAGGAGGATTAGAAATTCAAAGTCGTCTTCAGCCCAGGATGTATGAGACCCTGTAACATACACACACACACACACACACACAGAGAGAGAGAGAGAGAGAGAGAGAGAGAGAGAGAGGGCATTACAGGCTGCTGCTTCTTTAAATGACTAAAGCAGTTTTAGTCAGTTCTTTGTGGGTTTAAATTTTCTTCATTTAGAGCTGGACCAACAACTGGCCGTGGGTAACTTCCCACGGTAGAGAAGACATTAGCATGTAATTTTTTCTATTCATGTTTGAGAAGTGCCCTGAAGTCATTTTAAAACCGTGACATGTGTAAAAGTGAGGCCGTCATTACAGATCATCTGTATGTGGACATATCCATGATACAGATGTTTGTGTATTCTTTCATGAGCCCTGCGAGCATCATGATTTTCTTTGTCCATTGTCTGGTTAATTATGAGATGTGTCCCACGTTCCCATGTTCCTAGACACTACTGTCTGGTTAATTATGAGTGTGTCCCATGTTCCCATGTTCCTAGTTCTTTCTTTTTTTTTTTTTTTTTTTTTGGTTTTTCGAGACAGGGTTTCTCTGTGGTTTTGGAGCCTGTCCTGGAACTAGCTCTTGTAGACCAGGCTGGCCTCGAACTCACAGAGATCCGCCTGCCTCTGCCTCCCGAGTGCTGGGATTAAAGGCCTAGTTCTTTCTTATAGGCATTCAGATTGATGGCAGTAGGCATTTTATTTGAGAACTATAGATATTTATTAGAAAAAAAAAACCATTTTATCCTTTAAGGTCATGGTAACCATCCCTCTAGCATAACCATGCTATCTTGATCACACTGACTTTGGAATTTTCAGGAGTGAAGGGGCCAGTGTTATAGTGTGCTTGTGAGGATGTGAAGGGGAGCAAACTGCCTGGTTTTAATTCTGCTTTTTAATATATATATATATGTACATTATATATATATATATATTTACATGTTATTCCCCCCACTCCACAAGTAGTTGTATTGACTCTTTTTTCCACTTGTACAATGGAGACAACAATGGCATCCACTTCTAGGTTATTGTCGGGACTAAGTGAGAAAATACATAGGAAGAATAATTAGTAACACACAAATGTGAGTTAAGCTGATACATTAATCTGACTTTTCTTCTGTGCACCCTGTATATCAAATCCCACCCAGGTTTTCTTTTTCTAGATGAGCCTTGCTGTGTAGCACAGACTAGCCCCAAACTCACAATCCTCTCGTCTCCTCCCAAGCACGGGACTATAGTAAGCAGGCACCACCACTCTCAGCTCCGGCAGCCTTTATCTGAGTCTAGAATGTGTCCTAAGGAAAGAGTAACTCAAAATTTAAAGATGTTGCAGCTCTGGTCATAATGGTTAGGGATTACCTGCATGTGCCTGAAGAGAAGTTGATGAACTCAAATGATGGTACATCCATACAGCAGAAAACCACAGAAGGAAAATAGTGTGAGGATTATGAAAATGTTATTTGATGGAATCTTAGTGAATTGAGGCTTGCCTGTATCTCTCAGGATACCCAGAGCTCTTTCTGGAGTCTCTGCATTCCTGTGTGTCAGCCAGCTACCTCACTGAAGCAGTCTTGGAATCTCAGCGGACCACAACAGGGAGCATTCGTTTCGTCTCATGGCAAGCTCTGTTTCAGAGTAGTGCATGGTTAGTGCAGATGGCTTCATGGCCAACGGAAACCAAGTGGATGAGCCACAGTGGAGAGTCAAGACGGCATCTTTAGCTGCTCCTGATGCTGTAGAAGCGTGGGGTGACCCACTGCTAGTGAGATTGCTAGTCAAGTCCCTGCTGTGAGACAATGCTCTGCACATTGTAAATATTCGTCACTCAGGTTGGCTTAATAAGATGCTGATTGGCCAGTAGCCAGGCAGGAAGTACAGGCAGGGCAGCTAGACTAGGAGAATTCTGGGAAGAGGAAAGGCAGAGGCATGGTCACCAGCCAGATGCAGAGGAAGTAAGATGAGAATGCCCCACTGAGAATAGGTACCAATCTGTGGCTAAACATAGGTGAGAATTATGGGTTAATTTAAGTTGCAAGAGCTAGCTAATAATAAGTCTGAGCTAACAGGCCAAACAGTTTATAATTAATATAAACCTCTGTGTGTTTCTTTGGGACTGAATGGCTGTGGGACTGGGCAGGACAGCAACTTCTGTCTACAAAGTAACCACCACATCATTGAACCACCCTTCTTTCTGTTTAACTGTCTTTCTCTCCTAACAGAATCCCTGGAATCATTAGATCTTCACAGCTCTCTAAGGACCCCACTCTGACTGAGGGCACAGAGCTGCTAACTTGAACCTTGAACCTCCTCTCCTAGGATGTTCTTGTCTACCGGCCTAAGTTAACTGTCTCTGTGATATTTATAGTAAGCATTTCGTCTCCTTGGATTTAACCTAAGTGTTATAAATCCATAGTATCTTTCAGGACGATGGCTTATATATTACTGACTTCACTTTTTACTGCTATAGATGATTGATTCTTCCTATGTGTCTCAAGGAACAGAGGCCAGTTTGTGCTAGGGGGACTCTTTTCATAACTCTCAGAGAGGCTGATGTAAGAAGTTTCTGGATCCAAATGGTAAAATTATCCAATCTGTGAACCAATCTTAAAATAGAGTTTTGTCATAATTGTTCCTTAAGAAATATAAACAGGGGGCTGGAGAGATGGCTCAGAGGTTAAGAGCACTGGCTTCACTTCCAAAGGTCCTGAGTTCAATTCCCAGCAACCACATGGTGGTCACAACCATCTGTAATGAAATATTCTGCCCTCTTCTGGCCTGCAGGGACATATGCAGGCAGACCACTGTATACTTAATAAATAAATAAATAAAATAAATCTTAAAAAAAAAAGAAATATAAACAGTAGAGGGAGAAAATAGTTGGAAGGGAGTACCACCACTAAAACTTGAGCCTTTCCAGCAGACTCTGAGCATCCACAAAACAAAATGAGTAAACAAACTAAAGACAGAGTTTAAACGGAGAGAGATGGGCTATGGGCTTTGAGAATGGAGAAGAAAGGTTCTAAACATCAGGGATGGAAAGCAGGAACAGTGGTCCACATTTCCAATCTTACTATGTGGGAGGCAAAGGCAGGTGGCGCTCTGGATAGACAAGGCCAGCCTGGTCCACAAGTGAGCCTCAGGCTGTCAGGGCTACAGCATCACCCTGGAGAGAGAGGTGGGAGGGGCATGCAGCTAGGCATAGTGGTACAGGGCTATAATAATCCTAGCACTTGGGAGGTAGAAACAGGAGGATCAGGAGTCAAGGTCATCCTTGGCAACATAGTATATCTGAGGATAACCTGGGCTACAGAAGACCCTGTTATAGAGGAGGAAAGAACTAAGGATGTATTTCCCAGAAAAAAGGAACACAACCATAATGCAAGTGGACAGAAGTGGTCATTTCCTTCCTCTTTTCTAATCTTGGTTCCTAGCCTTTACTAGAGTCTCTTCAATGTCTTACACAGTGCAGATTTTTACCAGCTTGGAGGTGACATGTGGCTTCTAACGACCCTGCTCCTTTGGGGTAAGTTAGGCTCAGGGAGACTTGTCGGGGGAGTTGGCTCTGGCCATGGCGATCAAGACGTTACGTCATTGTTTGGTTAGCCTAAGAACTCAAGTCTAAAGACAGCTGTATCAAGGATCCAATCATTTATTGGTGCTTATTTCCAAAGGATGGGAAGGGGATCCTCTGGTGGCATTAAACCTGCAAGCTTCCATCAGAATAAAGAGGGTATCATGAATACCCATCCCTGGTATGGTGATGGTGAGTCTCTCAAGAGACTTCAGCTGGGTCCTCAAAGTCGATGTGAGCTCTTCCCAATTCTCCCTTCGTCACCAGTATCTTCTAGTCCCCAACTGACATCTGTGTCTCTGGTCTCTTGCAGTTCCAGGCGGTGGACAAGTGGGTGAGTGGGCTCTCGATCAATTTCTCATCTGCTGCTTCCCTGCTTTCAAAGGGTGGCTTCCATTAACCTGGAGGGAGGAGCACAGGGGGAAGACAAGCAAGAGAAAGATTTCTTAGTGACCGTCTCTGTATTTAGAGGGGGTTTTCTACAAAAGGTTTTCTGAGTGAGCCCTGGCTGCTGAACTAAATCCCTAGATCAGCGGTTCTCAACCTTCCTGAAGCTGCGACCATTTAATATAGTTCCTCATGTTTGGTGACCCCCAACCATAACATTATTGTCATTGCTACTTCATAACTGTAACTTTGCTACTGTTATGAACTGTAATGTAAACATCTGTGTTCTCCGATGGTCTTAGGCAACTCCTGTGAAAAGGTCATTTTGACCTCCAAAGGGGTTGTGGCCCACAGGTAGAGAACCACTAGCCTAGTGAGCTCAGAAAAGCAGATAATTGTGGGAACCCAGAAGCAGCCCTGCCCGGCTGGTTTTTCTAGCCCCCCCCCCCCCCCCAACTTGTCTCTTTTATAAGAAAGCAGAGATAGGTGGTTCTCCTCAGACGGAAAGGCTTCACGGGCTTGAGCCTCAGTTTCCCCCCAAAGACAGCCTAGCACTGAGTGTAGGGAATCTGGTTCAAGGCAGTTTGCTCTGGTTTAAAACTCCACTTTCTTAAACACCAATGATTTCATCACTAGCTACCAAATCCTAACACCTGTACTGGGATCAAATAACTCCAAAGGCTCCCATTGCAGAGCGGGGCTCTTACGGACCGGCTGGCTTCCTGGGATTCCACTTGCTAAGTTTTTCAAACTGACTTACATATACTTTCGCCTTGTGCAAGCGATACTTTACCAATCCCTCCCAGTCCTTGCGTTAGCTCCACTTAGGATCTTCTCCATTCTTCTTCTTTTTCCTACAGTCAGTGACAGGAAGGCTGTGATCACCTTGCAGCCTCCCTGGGTCAGCATTTTCCAGGAGGAAAATGTCACTTTATGGTGTGAGGGGCCCCACCTGCCTGGAGACAGTTCCACACAGTGGCTTCTGAACAACACAGTCCTTCAGGTCTCCACGCGTAGTTACAGGATCACGGAGGCCACTTTCAAGGACAGTGGTGAATACAGGTGCCAGACTGGTCTCTCAATGCCAAGTGACCCTGTACAGTTGGAAATCCACACAGGTAAACATGGCACGGGGCAGGAGGGCTGGGGATCCCAAGGTCTTCTTTTGTGCGGGGGCCAGAATGCTGTCTGTCTGTCTGTCTGTCTGTCTCCCTTTCTCTCTGAGAGTGTATGTGAGACTTTATATGAGTGAACGTATCAGCTCTAAGGACCTACTAGGTCCAATCAAGTCAGTATAATTAAAACATTACATCAAGATCATACGTACTCCTAGCGCTCTAGATTGGACCAGTTTTGGGTACAATGTCTCAAGAAAAATTTCAGGCTCTTGTGTTTTATCTTTGTCAAAAATTTATGGCAACACATCTTTAATTTCCTCAATGGCAGCTCTCTTGTGTGTTTTTCATTGTATCGTTCTGATTGTGTATAGTGGCTTCACATTGTGGTTTTAATTTATAATTTTTTTGGTGACTGTGGTATTGACCTCTTTTAGTGTGTTTATTACTTGTCTTTATAAAGTACCTGATTAGCCTTTTGGCCAATGTTTTTTTTTCTTTTAAAATGGTATTGCATTTTAGGTGTGTGTGTGTGTGTGTGTGTGTGTGTGTGTATCTGTATGCCATGTGTGCAAGGACCTACCCTTGATGGTCAGAAGAGGGTGCTGGACCTCCTAGAACTGGAGTCATTAGCAGTAGCAGGACTAAGTTCTGGGAACTGAACTCAGGTCTTCTAGACCAGTGGTTTTCAACCTCCCTAAAGCTGCGACTTTTTAATACAGTTCCTCGTGTTGTGGTAACCCCAGACCGTAACATTATTTCCATTGCTACTTCATAACAGTAATTTTGCTACTGTTATGAATCATATTGTAAATAATTTTTTTTGGAGATAGAGGTTTGCCAAAGGGGTTGTGACCCACAGGTTGAGAATCACGGTTCTAAAAGAATAACAAGCACTCTTTCTTTCTTTCTTTCTTTCTTTCTTTTTCAAGCACTCTTTCTTAACTGCTGATCCTGTTAAGAAATCTCTCTAGCTCCTTCTCCCAAAGCCATTGGCTCATCGGAACTCTTTATATATTCTGGGTTCCTCAAGTGTTGGTAATTTCTTTGTGGCTTGCCTCCCCCCACAAAAGAAACAGAAGTTCTTGACTGTCATCTAATATACCAGGCTTTCTGCTTCCTGCTCCCTCTATCCTATTTATAAAATGTTTTGCCATGGTTGTGCAACAGTGGGGACTCCATTGAGGTTATGCTGATGCTCAGTCACCTTCCGTCTGTCTGGGGATGCTAAGACACTAAGACACTGTCTGGTTGGCATGGCAGGAAGATAGAAAGAAGGCCATCTAGGGAATAAAGGTGGCAAACTTCCAAGATGACCGGCTTCTTCCTCACCCCCCTGATCTGAGACAAAAGCCTGGCAGCTTAAAAAAATAGGCCTGGAGAGCTTTATTTATTTGTTTAGTTATTTTCTTCCAAAATTTGGGTCCAAAAAAACAAAACAAAACAAAAAAAAAACAACAAAAAAAAAAACAAAATTTGGGTCCTCTGCTGATGGACCAGCCTAGGAATTCAACAGAATCTGTAGATATTTACATAACAATTGTGGACCAGTCAGTCACCATCCTTAAATCAGGGAAGAAAGACTCACCAAAGACAAAAAAAAAAAAAAAAAAAAACCTAGCCATTGAGAAGAGACTAGATTTATTTTATTTTGTTTTGTTTTATTTTGAGACAGGGTTTCTCTGTGTAGGCCTGGCTGTCCTATAATTCATTCTGTAGACCAGGCTGGCCTTGAACTCACAGAGATCCACCTGCCCCAGCCTCCTGAGTGTTAGAACTAACGGTGTATGCCACCACTGCCTAGAGACGAGATTTTTCAGTTCTCAGCCCAACCTTGCTTTGGAGAGGATCTCTGTGTACTTGCTGTGTGTGCAGAGGTCTCTGTGTGCTTGCTGTGTGTGCATAGGGTCTCTGTGTGCTTGCTGTGTGTGCATAGGGTCTCTGTGTGCTTGCTGTATGTGCATAGGGTCTCTCTGTCCTTGCTGTGTGTGCATAGGGTCTCTCTGTGCTTTCTGTGTGTGCAGAGGTCTCTGTGCGCTTGCTGTGTGTGCATAGGATCTCTGTGTGCCTGCTGTGTGTGCAGAGGTCTCTGTGTGCTTGTGTGTGCGGAGGTCTCTGTGCGCTTGTGTGTGCAGAGGTCTCTGTGTACTTGTGTGTGTGTAGAGGTCTCTGTGTGCTTGTGTGTGTGCAGAGGTCTCTGTGTTCCTGTTGTGTGTGCAGAAGTCTCTGTGTGCTTGTGTGTGTAGAGGTCTCTGTGTGCTTGTGTGTGCAGAGGTCTCTGTGTGCTTGCTGTGTGTGCAGAGGTCCCTGTGTGCTTGTGTGTGCAGAGGTCCCTGTGTGCTTGTGTGTGCAGAGGTCTCTGTGTGCTTGTGTGTGCAGAGGTCTCTGTGTGCTTGTGTGTGTGCAGAGGTCTCTGTGTGCCTGCTGTGTGTGCAGAGGTCTCTGTGTGCCTGCTGTGTGTGCAGAGGTTTCTGTGCGCTTGTGTGTTTTCAGAGGTCTCTGTGTGCCTGCTGTGTGTGCAGAGGTCTCTGTGTGCTTGCTGTGTGTGCATAGGATCTCTGTGTGCCTGCTGTGTGTGCAGAGGTCTCTGTGTGCCTGCTGTGTGTGCATCTCCTTACCTCTGATAGTACCTCTTTCTCACCAGCTAATGCTGTCTGCTGTATTCAGGAATTTCCCTGCTGCCGTCTGTTGCACTCAAGACTTTTTCTTGCTTTTTAAATCTTTGACTGGCAGAGAAAAAAAAAAAAACAGCAGAGACCCTAGGACCAAGAAAATGCTGCTGGTTGGGTCCAGGTTCTAGTCATGGAACTCAGAATGAGGCTAACTTTCCTACTCAGAGGCAGTGAAGATAAGGGGTGACGTTAGAACTAGATATTAGTAAGCTCGGTGTCTATATATCATATGACACAGCTAAAAGCTGTATCTATTGTGTTTTGATATGAAATACCCCATTCAGGGCTAAAAAACTACATTTTTCCTCCTACGTGGACTCTACCAAAACCATAAGTAAACAAATGTACATTTGGGTAGAGTGTAGCATAAGGAAAGAGAAGAGAAGGGTAAGGTCAGATGAGGAGGAAGGACAGAACACAGGTAAGGGACATGTCCATGAAAGAGGACAGAAAGCTAATTACTTTCCTGGGTCTATCTCTGTCGTGGATTTTTCAGTTTTGGTGATAGATAAGAGCATGGAAATATATTCCACAGTGACAGTATAGAACCCTGAGATGAAGGCCGACAGCCTTCACTCTGGATGTGATTTTAGCTATGCAAAAGTCCACTGAGATATACAGACCTCGAGTCTGGCTAATTTCAGTGTGCAATTTTCTCATATTCATGTTTTGATCTTTTCATATGGAGATAGATCAAAATCTACTGTGTTTCAGACATAAAGCCAAGACATCTGTTTGTCTGGGCAGTGTGGGATTGAGTTTTGGGTCTTACTTGCATTTAGAAGGAACGTGGCAGTTTTAGAGACCAGAGACCCTGTCCCACTTGGCAGAGGACCGAGCCCACAGACCCTGCTCCGCATGGCAGTGACCGCACCCTTGCTCTCCGTAGATGAGTTCTGGAGAGTGGAAGGCCCACTTTCCCTGAACGCCTCATCTTCACTAACAGACACGTCAGCGGTTACAACATATTCCTTTTCTAGCGCAGCATAACAAAGCATCACAAAGCTACAGCCCCGAACACACAGAACAATCACGGTTCAGGTTCCACAGCCTCTCTGTAGTCAGGGTGTTGAATGGACTGTGTTCCTTTGGGTCCTTCAGATTCACAAAGTCATTGGCAGAATTCAGTTCCTTGCGGTTACAGGACTGGTGTCCTCGTTTTCTAATTAACTGTCCACCGGTGGGGGTGGGGAGGCAAGCTCAGCTCCCAGAGGCCCTTGGCATGTAACCTCATGTCACAGCAGCTTACTGCTTCAAGGCCACCAGGAGCGTCCCTCTCCAGCCTGCTAAGAATAAAGCCATATATAGCAAATGTGTGCCTGGCCTTTGTCATATTCTCTTGACTTTAGAAGCTGGACATAAGGGCACAACACATTCAAGGGGTTTTGTATGCATGAATCATTGGGGTCATCTAAGAATTCTGTCTTCCATGCAAAGTAAACTTTGTCCCAGCCAGTTTCTCAGTGCTGAGAAGGGGTAGTGTGCACAGCTGCTGGAGAAGATGATGGGGGAGTGGGTAGTGTGCAGAGCTGCTGCAGAGGATGATAGGGGAGTGGGTAGTGTGCAGAGCTGCTGGGAGAGGGTGCTGGGGTGGGTAGTGTGCACAGCTGCTGGGAAAGGGTGCTGGGGTGGGTAGTGTGCAGAGCTGCTGCAGAGGATGATGGGGGAGTGGGTAGTGTGCAGAGCTGCTGCAGAGGATGATGGGGGAGTGGGTAGTGTGCAGAGCTGCTGGGAGAGGGTGCTGGGTGGGTAGTGTGCACAGCTGCTGCAGAGGATGATGGGGGAGTGGGTAGTGTGCACAGCTGCTGCAGAGGATGGGGGAGTGGGTAGTGTGCAGAGCTGCTGGAGAGGATGATGGGGGACTGGGTAGTGTTCACAGCTGCTGGGAAAGGTCATTTTTCTTTCTACCAAAGCAGAAGAGATTTGAAAGCGCGACTAAGGTGTGGGCCACAGCAGAGATTGAAGTTGGAATGTTGCAATAGTGTAAGATATAAAAGTCTCCAGGGCCAAGACTCGGCCTCCTTGTTCTTCCCCTGTGTTTGCAACCACTGTGGTCCTCCCTTTTCAGAATTGCTGCTACTCCAGGCCTCCCACAGAGTCCTCACGGAAGGAGAACCTCTGGCCTTGCGATGTCATGGATGGAAGAATAAGCTGGTGTACAATGTGATTTTCTATCAAAATGGAAAATCCTTTAACTTTTCTCGAGGTTCTGAGGTCAAAATTCTGAAAACCAACCTGAGTCACAATGGCGTCTACCACTGCTCAGGAATGGGAAGAAACCTCCGCTTCGAGTCTGCCAGAATGGCTGTCACTGTGAAAGGTATCCGGTCTAGATGAGAGTCCCAGCCAAAAGGACCAGAGAAACCTCAATTTACAAAGGAGGAAACTGAGTTCCAGGGAAGCAAATGGCTTCCCCGAAGGCCACCCAGTGACCACCTTCTGGGCCAGCACCAGAACTGAGGTCTCCGAGTCCCCATCCATTGCTCTTTTCAGCACCCCCAATGGCCCATCAGTGATCACAGGGGCACATGTCAAAGTCAGGGGACAGCGGCTATATACTTCGTCTATTTATTTTAGCTGCTAAGGCCTGAGACTCACTCACTCAGGGTAGCCAGAGTTGCTAGAAAGCACTCCAGTTAAAGCTCATGAAATTTTCATAGAAATTTCCTAGAAGCCAGAAAGACATTAGGAATTGCTTTTGCTTTCCATTTGTGTGTCTGGGATCATGTAACCTCTGAACTCACTTCTCCTTAAGCTTCTGCAAACCAAACAGTTTTCTCTGTCCAATTTGCACACGGTCTTTGTTTCAACTCTTTCCATGGCTTGCCATCTTAGTGTTCAAACTAAGGCAAGGTATTCCTATGTGAAAAACAGTTCATTTCTGTGGGGGAAGAAATTACTGTCCCAGCTTCTCATTTGAAGAGCACAGGTAATGAGTGACTTAGCTGGCAGGTGCGTGTTAGTGATGACTCTGGGTTCCTGCCAGTGTAGTCCATGTTTCCTAGTAGACAGAGCCCCCCCCCCCCCCCCACACACACACACTGGCAACCAGTCGGGTCTACTAGAAATATGACTCTCTGTTGGGGCGAGATTCACAAAGGGGAGTCTTTTGGAGGCACTGAAACTGAATGGGACATTCTGCCCCCCATGACTTTCTCTTTAGAACTGTTTGCAGTTCCAGTGCTGAGAGCATCCTTGTCTTCTCCCTTCCTGGAGGGGAGTCCGGTCACCCTGAGTTGTGAGACAAAGTTGCTTGTACAGAGTCCTGGCTTGCGGCTTTACTTCTCCTTCTACGTGGGCAGCAAGATCCTGGAGGATAGGAATACATCCTCAGAGTACCACATACCAAGTGCCGGAAGCGAAGATTCTGGGTTGTACTGGTGTGAGGTAGCCACAGAGGACGGCAGTGTCCTTAAGCACAGTCCTGAGCTGGAGCTTAGAACAATTGGTGAGTGTGCGGGAAGTGGGGGTCTCTTTCTTCCCGTGGGGCTGACGGGGAAGGGGAACACTTCACACTTCACGAGCAGAGCGCCATGTGTCAGAACTGCACCGTTTCCCTCCCGCCTTCCCTGAATTTCCTTCTTTCTTTTCCTGTCTGTCACTTTCCCTTTCTTTATTCTCCTTCTTTCCTTCATCCCATTCTTCCTTCTGTCTGTTTCCTTCATCTTTTGTCTCTCCTCCCTTTGCTCTCTCTCAACTTCCCTTTGCTCCCCCCCCCCAATTCACCCACTGCAGACGACATTAGGGGTGTCTCTGTGAGGGTTTCTAGCGCTGTGATGAAACACCATGACCAAAAGCAAGCTGGGGAGGAGAGGGTTTGTTTGACTTACATTTATAGAGCACTGCGTATCAGAGAAGGAAGTCAGGACAGGAACTCAGGGCAGCAAGCTAGAGGCAGGAACTGATGCAGAGGCCGTGGATGAGCGCTGCTTACTGGCTTGCTCCTCGTGGCTTGCTCAGCCTGCCTTATTTTTCTTTCTTTTGCTTTTTGTCTTTTGTTTTTTTTGAGTTAGAGTTTCTCTCAACCTGCTTTTTTGTAGCATCCAGGACCACCAGAGCAGGGATGGCACCACCCATAATGGATTGGGCCCTCCCCCATCAATCACTAATTGAGAAAATGCAGTTGAGCTGGATCTTATGGAGGTATTTTCTCAGTTGAGGGTCCCTCCTTTCAGATAACTCTAGCTTGTGACAAGTTGACGTAAAACTAGCCAGGACACAGGTGTGGGCTTTGATGATGGATTCCCATGATGGCTTTACAGTTTGCCTTCATGGACAACACACTCTCCTGACTGTATCTGACTGAGTTGGAGGGTTCATGAGTTCCAGAACCAAGGCTCTGGCAGGGAGGACTCTTGAAACCTGCTTTAAGCATCAAAGATACAGAAATAGCAGCTGTCTCTGAAGTTAAGGACAGTGTAATATTCCCGAGGAGCTTGGTCCACCTGAAGGGCCCATCTGGAATGGCTGCAAATTTCTTGTCCCCTGAACTTATTTCTGGGGGACAGACAGCCTTCCTCAGTCTCTTAAACAACTTGAGTGGATCACTCCAATGTCAAAGGATTTTTTCTTTCAGGTCTCCCACCGTCATCCGCCCCTGACTGGTTTCACATCCTTTTCTCTCTGGCAATGGGAATAATGCTTTTGGTGGACACAGTTCTCTGTGTGAAAATACATAAAATGTTGCCAAGAAGGAAAAACTACAATGTAGAAGTCCGTTTGGTTTCTGATGAGGAGAAGAAAGAAACTTCCGCTTAGCAAGTTAGAAGCGATTATGTGTCTGAAGAAAGAGACCTTGCGAGGCGGACCACACCACAAGAGCCGCGCAGCTCAGTGGGTGACTGTGGACCTGGACAGCTGACTCCCTCCCTCCCTGTGCCAGCGCTGGGCACAAACTTCCAAAAGAGGACTGACATTCAGACTGGGACCCTGGCGCATGGCGCTCAAATAAAGCAAATGTACAAACTGACTCTAGTGGAGACAAACTTGGTAATCAGACTTTTGAAGGCAGACCTACTCTAAAGGAGTCTTGCGAAATATGGAGCCCAGTCATAGCGGGGTTCTGTTGTATGCACGTGATGTTGTGCCTTACAGTGAGGAGGAATGGGAATGGGAGGAAGTGACTCTCACAGGGAAAACAACCTCACAGCCCCTGTGAACAGGAACCAGCTCTGAGGACTCCAGTCTGAGGAGTTGGGAGTTAGAGCAGGCACAACTCTCCTCCCCAGAAGGGAGAGCTGCGCCTCCCCTCACAGGGTGGGTGCTTTCAGGGAAAGGCGTCCCCGGGACAACCTGTGCGTTAGAGGAGCAGACACAGATATCACAGCCTAGGGTGAAGCTGGGTTAAGGCCAGTCACCAGGACACATCATCAAAATTTGTGTTCTTGCTGGGCGGTGGTGGTGCACGCCTTTAATCCCAGCATTCGGGGGGGGGGGGGGCGGGGGGGAGGGCAGAGGCAGGTGGATCTCTGTGAGTTCGAAGCCAGCCTTGTTTACAAGAGCTAGTTCCAGGACAGGCTTCAAAGCTACAGGGCCCCACCCCCAAGTTTGTGTTCTCTTCCTCACTGTCTCCCTTCTTGCATCCTGCCCATATTTGCTATCACACCCCCCACAGGAGCAAGATCGGCAGTGTCCCGAGGTTGGACTCATCCATCTAACCTCCCTTGGGTGCAGGTAGCCCCTCATGCGAGCAGCCTTTCCCGGCAGCCTACACATGGGGCTGTGGCATGAAGGTTTGGGGTGAGATGAGTGACCATCTGACAAGCAATCGTCACTCTCTTGTGACCCCACAGGGCTGCTTTAGTGTTCTCCTTCCTGTACCGCCTGGAAGCTGGAGCCTAGAATAGGGTTGGAACACTGGAAGGAATACCTTTTGGAAGGCACAGCTCACATGTGTATGCCTCCAGCGTACTCTGACCATACTAGGAAGACTGAATCCTAGAAACAAGGAATAGATCCTGTCTCCACTTACGCTCACTCTAAGGACCCACTGAAGGTCTTGGTGCTGCTCATCTCTAGAATTCTGGACTCTGCTGGGCTAGGGCTCCTGGTCCTCAGAGAGCGTGTGGCATAGCATGAGTCTCATCCGGTGAGAGCCATTAGTGGAAATCAAGGGGACTTTGAGGCTTATAGCCAGGGACCAATAGGCGTAAGAGGCACGGGGATAATAGTCCTTGGTCCCTGGAAGAGATACACTCTGTTGCAGAATACACGCAGAAATTGTCAGTGTGAAAAACAGTCTTGGAGCTGGAGAGATGATGGCTCAGGGGTTAAGAGCGTTTTCTGTTCTTCCACAAGACCTGAATTCAATTTCTGTGCCTGCTTGTAACTGCAGCTCCAGGGAGTTCAGTGCCCTCTTCTGGCCTCTTCCAGGAACTTACATATGCATGGCTTTCAGATCAAAAACAATTAAAAAAAAAAATCTTTTTTTTTTTTTTTTGGTTTTTCGAGACAGGGTTTCTCTGTGGTTTTGGAGCCTGTCCTGGAACTAGCTCTTGTAGACTAGGCTGGTCTCGAACTCACAAAAAAAAAATCTTAAAACAACAAAACAAGCCATGCGATGGTGGCGCACGCCTTTAATCCCAGCACTCGGGAGGCAGAGGCAGGCGGATCCCTATGAGTTCGAGACCAGCCTGGTCTACAGAGCTAGTTCCAGGACAGGCTCCAAATCCACAGAAAAACCCTGTCTCGAAAAATAAAAACAACAACAACAACAACAACAACAACAACAAAAAACCCAACAAAACAAGCTGGCCATGGTGGTGCACACCTTTAATCCCAGCACTCAGGAGGCAGAGACAGGCAGATCTCTATGAGTTCGAGGCTAGCCTGGTCTACAGGAGTCCATGACAGTCAGGACTACACAGAGAAACCCTGTCTCAACCAAACAAAAAACAAACAAAACAAACCCAAAACACCACAGCTCTTACCTCAAAGGGAATAAGATACACATCATGTAAAAAAATAATACAAATAACTCTTTACAAAATTAAAGATGGCTCAGCACCTAAAGAGCACACACCGCTAGTCTTAATTTTCTACTGCTCTGAAGAGACACCATGACCAAGGCAACTTACAAAAGAAAGGATTTAATTGGGGCTTGCTTACAGTTTCAGATGGTGAGGCCATGCCATCGTGGCAGAGAGCATGGCAGCAGACAGGCAGTGTACATCTTACTGGCAAACTGGAGGCAGAGAGAGAGAAGAGAGAGAGGGAGAGGGAAGGAAGGAGAGAGGGAAGGAGGGGGAGAGACAACCATTTAATGACAACAAAAATAAGAAAAAATAAAGGAAAAATGATAATATCAAAAAAATATTCACGCTGGGCGATGGTGGTGCACGCCTTTAATCCCAGCACTCAGGAGGCAGAGGCAGGCGGATCTCTGTGAGTTCGAGACCAGCCTGGTCTACAGAGCTAGTTCCAGGACAGGCTCCAAAGCCACAGAGAAACCCTGTCTCAAAAAAATAAATAAATAAATAAATAAATAATTCACATCTGACACCATCTGGCACCAGAAAGATAGCCTGATATTCTTGAATGGTGCATTCAATAGCTTGCCATATCAGCGGTTTTGTACATGTTTATAAAGCAAACTATCCTTCTCTAACTGGGCAAGGGAACATCTTTGCTTCTGATTGCGGTTTGGGAACTACATGTTACTGTCGAGGGGTCTGGATCAAGGTGTTTTTTCTGTCAACTAAAGAATTAAAAGGCAAATCTCTAGCACAACAGAGGATGGCAAGGAGAATCTCAGATATAGCTGCAGAAGCAAAGGAGGAAAACCATTTTTATTAAAGGGGAGGAAACTCACACACAGACCACACAGACCACCCACCAGCACAGCTACACACACACACCAACAAGGCAGCTAGGGCTCACACAAAGACCTCCTATAAAGCAGAGGGGGCACTTCCTCTCCTGGAGGACTAGGGGTTTTCAGGGTCTTCGATGGGAAGGGGGTCCCCTTTCTCTTTTTAGGGTTGCTCAGTTCAGACAAAGAAAGGGAAGCTGATATAAGTCCACAGCCTTGGGTAAATACATCCAGGCTTACCTGAACAGCATGTGGTGGTGGAGGTGGTGGTGATGCTGGAGGTGATGGTGGTGGTGGTGGTGATGTAGGAGGTGGTGATGATGGTGGAGGTGGTGGTGATGGTGGAGGTGGAGGTGGTGGTGATGGTGGAGGTGGTGGTGATGATGGTGGTGGAGGTGGTGGTGATGGTGGAGGTGGTGGTGATGATGGTAGTGGAGGTGGTGGTGGAGGTGGTGGTGATGATGGTGGTGGAGGTGGTGGTGATGGTGGAGGTGGTGGTGATGGTGGAGGTGGAGGTGGTGGAGGTGGTGATGATGGTGGAGGTGATGGTGGAGGTGGTGGTGATGGTGGAGGTGGTGGTGATGGTGGAGGTGGAGGTGGTGGTGGTGGTGGAGATGGAGGTGGTGGAGGTGGTGGTGATGGTGGAGGTGGTGGTGATGGAGGTGATGGTGGAGGTGGTGGTGGAGATGGAGGTGGTGGAGGTGGTGATGGTGGAGGTGGAGGTGGTGGAGGTGGTGGAGGTGGAGGTTCTGGTGCAACTACTGCAGGAGAGAAAGCCTGCGAGCCTTTTGTCTCAGGTTGCCAGGTCTTCATCTCTGGTCAGAGGGATGAAAAGGAAGCCAGAATTTCCCTCGTTTTGCTTTTGCTTTTAAGTCTTTCTTAACTCCTAGTCCACCATACGAACCAGCATCTTATTTCTTGGACTTAGAATTTCTCTGGTTATCATTAGAAACAATAGCGTGCTGAAAAATGATAAATTCCTTCACCGGGTACCCTCCCCGACCCTCTCGACATTGCGTGACACCTCCCAATCTAGTTACCGAACAGAAAGGAGACGACCACGGACGAGGATTTAAATCCTTGCTAGACAGACACACAGGGGGAGGTAATAGATAATAAATATGGCAAATCACTTGTTTTTCTCTCATACTCCTGACCAGAAACAAAGGCCTAGTGACCTGGTGGGCTTTTCCTCCTGCCAACAGAGCCAGGCAATGCCGTCTAAATTAAGGCCTGACTAGTACGCGTTTATCCAGAATTGTGGGCCTTTCCGTTTCTCTATGTTTATTGAAACTGACCAGTCCTGTATTAGGGGAAGACCCCTCAAAGGTTCTTAAATCTCCTTCCCTCCTGGCAAGGCCGACTTTATGAGATCACCCCCAATCTATCCGTGTGCCCTGCTGTGTTTTTCCCCATCCTAATAAAAACCTTTCTTCAACGGTTGATTCTATCTGCTGTGTCTGAAATTTACCCTTTTGCTTCCTGTCCCACAACGTTTTTCCTGCTTTTAATTCTTTAGCTGGTACAGAAAACAAACTCAATCAAGACTCCTTAATAGTAACAGAAAAGAGAAAAGCAAAACAAAACAACAACAGCAACAACAACAAAAAAAACCCCTCGGGGGACGGTGTGACTTGCTGGCGCCGTCCCGTGGTTATCTTTGTACATTGCAGCCGGCGCGCAGCTGGATCGCCTTTGCCAATGCTCGCGGACCCACGTGACTGGAACCTTGTGACTAATTGTTTTCCCCCAGGCGTCAGGAGCTAATGATCTAGATTGGGCCTAAGGCCCAGACGCGTAGCCTGAGGAAGAGGGTCGTGCGTGTCCGATTCCCTCTGGTTACCGTGAAGGGCACCCTCTCGCGGTGATGATTCGCTTAGCAGCCGCGCTAGCGCAACAGCACCGGAGGCTGGTCGTCTCCCGGAGTGCGCAGCCGCAGAACTAACCAGCCCGGCGGGCCAGGCGCATCTGCGCGCTCGAGGCCCCACATGGCGCCCCCTGGTGGCCACCTTTGGGGCTCGCAGCCGCTGCCTCCGGGAGACCCCCGGTTCCAGAGGGGAGACGCCAGGGAACCAG